GTCGGCGCCTGAGATAGCTCGCCGCGGCTGGTGAAGTCGGCAATCTCCTCGCGAAGCTTCACCAAGGCATCATGGTTCTTGAGCAGGTTGTAAACAATGGCTGAAATGCTGATACCAGTCGTATCCGATCCGGCAAAGACATTGCTGGCGCAGCCGATGAGAAGATGCCAATTGGTGAACTCAGTGGGGTCGCTGGAGTGCTTGGCCAGGAATTTGGTGAGGAACGTCTCCCCAACAGCAGCGCCATCTTCGGCACCCTTGACCTCGATGACCGTCTTCGGAGAAGCTCGCTCCTCCTCAATGGTCTGCGCCGTAAAGTCTAAAACGTACATCATCTTTGCTCCCATACCAAGACGCTTAGTGATGCCAGTAACCAGTGGTGCAATGTACATATGCACGGAAGGAAAGATACCAGTCAAGCTTGAGTATAACAAGCTCTTGTTGATGTTGTCAATGACTTGGGCAATGTCTTCGCCTCGGTCCAAGAAGCCGAGGCGTTTTCCGTAGGTCATCATTGCAACTGCATCAAAAGCGAAGCACTGGAACCAATGTCCGATGTCTACTGTCGAGCCAGCCTTTGCAAACTCTGAAAGACGTTGGGAAAAGAGAACACCGCACTCATCCACGTATGGCTCGTAGTTGACGAGAGACGTCATTGAATACGCGTTTGTGTAGAAACGTCTGCTGTGAGCATGACGCTGTATCGAGCGATCCGAAAACACGTTCCAAAGATCCTCGTTGGGCTGGAATGGAATGTACCACTCTGACTTCTGGAATTGAGTGCCGTGACCGTAGACAATCTTGAGGGCTTCCGCGTCATTGATACTGTATCGGTTCGGGCCATAGCGGACGATGGGCCCTGGCGAGAAAGAATTAACATCAGTACATCTACTGCTTGCTGTTGCTTGACGCTCTTACCGTATTGTCTGTGTAATTCTTGGTTGACCTTCTCAAACTTTCCTTGTTTAAGCCGATGGAAATACCAGAAGTCTGTGTAGCGAGCCAGCAGTGGTCCGGGTACCGATGGTAGGGGGGAGCGAAGCCACTGAACAAAGGAGACAAGGATCTGTGCTAGGAGGGCAAAACCTGCAATTGCTAATACAAGTTGGGTATTCATCGCGAAGATGCACATATAAATTATGAGAAAGATAAATGGATAAAAAGCCCGATACTAATTGATACAATGAACAATTTGCGTGAGAACTGGCCTCGAGCATTTCTCGAAAGCAGAAGCACGAGAATGATGGGCTTTTATAGGAAAAGAACCATGGTATTCACCCATCGTATTTGAGACGAACCGACTCCGTCATGGATTGTCAGACAAGTACGCAATCAATCCGCAGCGTCTTGAAGTTGAAGATGTAAAGGCGTACGGCTTACAACCATCATTGGTGGATGACATGGGACGAGTCATAGGCGATCTTAGAATGCTAGGCGATGGAGACAGTGTCGGGACCGAAACCTTGTTCAAGTGTCGAATAGCGTGGGTCGAAATAGTAAGATATCCTCTTTGCCCGCTATGCATGGACAGTCAAGTGGATCAGCATATGTGATATGCAACCTCAAGGCGGGTAGAGGCGTCAATGGTGGATAGTCGGACAGGTATCTCATATTAATCATGAAAGACTTCTCTTGAGTTGATGGACAGGGCTTATCTGCGCAAAATCCATTCACAAGAATCTGGAGGTGGAATGAGAGGTCTTATTGATCGCTTGAACTCGAATATCTGGAAACTATCGTTCACAGACCTGGAGGTTCTTGGTGTCAAACGGGGGAATCGTCGATCTTGGCCGCTGTGTTTTGGGTTTTCTAAGCGGCGGGACTCGGGAACGAAAACTGTCCGAGACCGACGTCCGCCCCGCAATGCGATGCAACAGCTAGCTTGCGGCCGGCCGCGGAGAGGCGGCGGGAGTGGAGTATCGCGGTGTTTGATTAAGCCGTTGACCGTGATGGCGTACGGCCAATTTTCACGGCTACGAGACGACGAATTCATTAAGCTATCTGCTATGCCCCCGACACTTGCATTCATTGTCTTGTGTCTTCAGCTCAAGAGACATTGAGTGGATGCGAAACGGCAATTACTTGCCTGTGTCGAGGCTCAACTTGATAAATCCCGGGGGGTTTTCACAGCGATTGTCATAGTGTACTTCACCTGCGTCTGTGCATCTAGGGACGATCAAAGAAAGAACATTTATTCTGCTGCAACGGGGGATCTTTCTATCAACATTGCAATTGCGGCGTACGGGTGTTTCGTCAGAAGAAAGTTTTGGCTACCCACATGTGAACAAAATCGAGTGTTTGATTCAGGATCTGGCGCTTACACGACGCGGAGAAGTGTATTTAGAGTGGGAAGAATGTGGCATATCTCCCCGTTGCCTACCTGGCGAATGATTAATGGGAAGATGCAATCAATGAGTTCGACGTACCAATTCACTGGGTGCCACAGCGAGCATCTTCTTTCAATCTTGGAATTCCCACGACGCGTGCGTTAAAGAGCAATCCGAGGCTGCCTTACATAGCCCCATGATCGCGATCGCTCGTAACATTGGGAAACCGCACCCATCTCATTTCACATTATTCCCCCAAAAGATCAATTCCCTGCTTCTTCCGCCTCAGTTTGAATACATGGAAGTCAGTTTAAAGGTCGCTATTTTCTGCGTCAACTTTCTCCTAATTGCGAGTTACTCAAATCCCAGAGCATGCGGGCTGACTCGGTCTTCATGTCGATCTAATTCCGCAAAGCCTACTGACCATTGTTGCCCAACACATATCCCGTTTGGCTATCACAGCTGTGTTGATAACAGGGGTCGAAGAATGAGCGCAACGGCTTGCACCCGCACACCAGTCCGCTAGGGTTACTCATATACACCTCGAAAACGTAGTTCTTAATTCGATGCTCGATATTCAAATTTATAACCAACCAGACTCCGCGCACACAAACCCTCAAAGCTCTAGCCGACAACCCGCATCAGCAGCGCCACCTCCTTGTTCAACTGTATCCATTGGTCGTAATTGGTAGGTGACAAAAAGCAATCGTGTAAACGGCATGAATTACAATTCGTAGTTGATTTGATGTAAGTGCACTGGGACATCAGTCGCTACATATGCGCCGTTTCCTTTAAACAACAGGTGGAACAGCCAAATTTGAGGGAATCCTGCCCGCAGAGCCACCAGCTACATTCTTGGCGGGGACGTTCATTTGTGATCCCTTGGCGGCCATCCTGTACGCTTGGACATCGGCGTCCGCCTTACTAGTGGGTTGTTAGTGTTGTCAAATTTCAAGAGTGGATAAGCCAGGGCTTTCTGACGGGTTGATGATCATGACCATGCCAAGCTGGCAGTGCATGCCTTGAGCGCAATACATGAGCATGGGCTCAGTGTTCTCAACCTGCACGTTGAAAGTGCCGACTGGAGAGCCGTCTGTAACTCCCGGAATAAAACCAGAATGAACGGCATTCGGCATCATGTCCTGGAGAGGGTTGCATGGGGCCTGGGTGTTCGCGGCCTGAGTGACGGTATGGTTGTTGGGCCAGAACTGGAACTGGACAATGTCGCCAGGGTTCGCCTTTACAACCTCGGGATAGAAGAGCAGAGACTTCTCACGGGTCGGGCTACCAACAACAACGGGGATGACCTTGGGAGTCGGGGGCGCAGGGCCTGGGGCAGGTGGTGCCTGACGCTCTATTGAATATGTGAGCTACAAGCTACGAAAAGATAGTTCCGTCGTGTAAGTGAGAAACACTGACCATTCAGAGCGGCGGCCAGGGAGCCTCCTACGAAGGCGGAGAGATAGACGGCGACGGTGCTGAACTTCATCTTGATTCCTTTGACCCTCGACGATGGTGTAGGGACTATTGGCTGATACTGCTGAGACGACGAGACGCTGCTTCGATATGATGACACTAAAACCACTACGAAAGACAATGACCTGCATGAGAGGAGCAGAGGACTCTATGATATTTAAGCTGACTACCATAGCATGCAGGATCCCAAAGTATCAGCACCTTCGGGACATGCACGGCGACACCACTCGCCCACTAATACGAACCTTTTCTCTCTTAACCTTCCGCACTGGGCAAGCTTCTCCCGATCATGAGACCGAGTAGACTTAAAATCGCAAAGTTGGAGGACTCGGGTTGCCGTGATTAGCAGGGGTAGCAGCGAAGCTTGGGCATCTCAAAAGATGAGATGAGCCGAGTTGTCCAATGAGAGATGTCAGGTGCCTCAAACGTAACATGTTTCGTTTCTTCGGCCGCACTGCATACCGAAGCATGCTTAGAAATTGACACCAAAGAATAAAGGGGGAATAAACATTAATTCGGAGAGGGGCAATATCATCTCGCGCTTCTCGGACAGGAGGGGAGAGGCCGGTCAATCAAGAACCTGTCTCCTCGTGTCAGGTACTCTCGGCGTTGGGACGACGATGACCAGCAAGGGAACGAGGGTGCGGACAACGCCCAACCCTGCCAATGGGCCGGCAATCGGCTGGCTGAGTATGAACTATGGGGTCCTTTTACGATTACCAAGCTAAAGCTCGCAAACGGATGAAACGGTTGCGGAGTCGTTTCGAAAGATTGAAAGAGGCGTGGGCCCCCGGCTGGCTCCTTTTGTTCCCCCCCTTGACCGTGGGGGATCTCCGAGCGCTGGGAGCTGGCACTGGCGGGAGATCGGCACAAACGGTTAATAGTTTGCACATCCTGTTGGGGTGTTTGCGGCTCTGGGATTTGTTTCTTCGTCGCGCGCGCAAGACGAATTGGGTACCTACTCTTGACGTCAAGAGAGCTTTTACGCTGAAAATATCGGGAGATCGGTGTCAAAGGGAACGTGCGCATGCTCTGATCGTGACACTTACGATTCTATTGCCCTTTTTGCGAACAGACCTTGCCTACCCTTAGGTGTCTACAAGAATTGCTTCGCCATTATGCCCAGTTCAAATCAGCACTATTAGGTAGTGTTACATGTTTAGCCGCTAGTTACCGGAAGTTCCGGGATCTACAGCTCTACTTTTTTGCGTCTCCGTCTCTTTTCATCTCACCCGGAGTCTGGCCGTCTTTCGTCTTGTCCTTTTTAACGCTCTTCCACTCGATGAAGACACACCCAAAAACTGTCAAACATCCGAGGACGGTGGCAATTAGAAACACGTTCTGGAGAGCCTTGTTGTAAGCTCCGATGATGCCGTCGACCGAATCCGGGTAGATGCTCCGCATCGACTCCACTAGTCCGGAACCGCCCGCGTCAATGACGACTACCGGGTTTACATTGGGGACGTTCCGGCTCAACTCGGAGATTAGTCTCGAATGGAAGACGTTTTGAGCGACAGCCAAAAACACGGTGCCACCGAGACTTTGCAGAAAAATCAAGAGAGATGTGGCTAGGGCTACGTCACGACCTTGGAACACGGTCTGAACTGCTATCAACGTCTGTTGTCCGCCCAGACCTACGCCTACTCCTAAAAGGACAAGTGAGGCAATCCTGAAGCGATTGTTAGCATCTTGTGTGCGTTGAACTATGGGACAAGGTCAAATAGTACCAGAAGCCTGAAGTCGTATTTTCGTTAAACGAGTAAATCAAACCCGCCCCAACAGAAGCTATAATAGACGAAGCAATGAGTTGCGGGACGTAATATCCGATATGACTTGTCTGACAATTGATCAGTATTACGATGTAGCTTTCCAGGTATGGGTAGTACATATAGTGTCGACTTACCAGAAATCCAGAAAGAATTGTCGCGACTGATAAGGAAACTGACGATGCCAACAAGTCGATGCCACTCTGATAGGCGGTGTGGTTCTTGACTGCTTGCAACCAAATGGGAATGTAGTACACTTCGATAAAGAGAAGTGAGAACAGAAGAAGCATAAGCCAGCAAGCACAGGCCATTGACCTCTGAAAGAGGATGCGGAATGGGACGGTGGCTTTGTCACCCTCGCGGAACTGGACCAGTGCCCACAAGAGGAAGCAGACCGCAAAGAGGCACCAGCACAGGATTATGCGCCAATTGCTCCATGCATATTCGGTTCCACCCCACTGCAAGGCGAGGAGGAGACAGATGATCCAAGGTATGAGGAGTATTGTCCCTACCAAGTCAAAGTTTGAAATAAACCCCCGCACGCTTTGTGTCTGCTTCTTCAGCGGCGTCGGCAGCTTCAGGAGGAAGAGTACCACCAGGAAGGTGACACCGCCAAGAGGAAGATTGATCCAGAAGCACCATCCTGCTGTACGTCAGTGTCCTGTTACGGAACAATGATGAGGGGGGAAAAGAATTCCTACTCCAAGTCGCCTTATCAACAAAGACGCCGCCAAGAGTGGGCGCTATGCACTGCGAAATTCCGCCCGCCGCGCCAACTGCCGCGGTGAACTGCGGGCGTCGGTGAAGAGGCACACTTCTAGCCAAGATCTGAGTCGCGACTGGCTTAGCCAACACAGTTCCGTAGAAACCGGGAGACGCCTAGCCTTACAGGAAAGACTTACAATAAGGGCGCCGGACATAAGTCCAGCTGCACCGACTCCGGAGATGGCTCGGCCGACAATGAGAACCACGGAGCTCGGAGCCACGGCGCAGACAATGGACCCCACCTCAAAAATGAAAAGAGCAGCAAGGAAGACCCATTTGGCGTTGAACTCGGCGTACAATTTGCCGAAAAAGAGCTGGAATGAACACATGGTGAAGAGGTACGCGGAGCCGTACCACGCTACATCCGGTAAAGACTCAAACTCGGAAGTGATTACCGGAATCGCGGTCCCCAAAATTGAGCGATCCTAGATGAGGATGGGTGTTGTTAGCGATGTGCGTGCTGCAATGATAGGAAGATCTAACGCCCCAGAAAACAATTGAAACTTACAAGTCCAAAGCACAAAACCGCGAGGAACAGGCCGATTGTGATGGCGGCGAGGCTCGCACCAGTGGGATACTCTTCTGCGGCAGCATCTTGGGCTGGAGAGGTCTTCTCTAGTTCTGCATCGCTAAACTTCTCTCCACTTGTTCGCGGTATTGAGTGTGAGGTCGTCGTTCTAGCGACAACGTTAGCTCATCTGGCCCGAGACCCGTCTCCGCAGCCCCTATAGTAGCCGCAGTGTGAACCCACCTTGGTTCGACAGGCATCTTCGGTGATGGTAACAATGAAATTGGTTAAATGAAGTTGTTCTAACGTAGTTGCTTGTGTGAATATTAAATGTTCAGTTCCTCTGCCCAGGGACGATTTTCTTAAATGCTTGAATACAACCATCGCCCATGATTGTAATGATATCTGCCGCCTTTGAATCTTTCACCATCTGCACATGCAGATCCCAGATCAAGTTACCGGTCCGTACGGAGAATAGCACGGGAGACAAGTCTAGGTCAGCATGCCAAGCCGGGTATAGCGCCAGTAGCCTCGTACGAAAGCCAAGATTCTTTTGCCTTAACCATCTTGAGTATTACGTGTAGAAATCAAAATAAAGTCCCCAAGCTGTGCAGATGAAGACTGGGCCGTACCACAGGCAACAGTGTTAGGGTCACTGGTGCTTACAGTGGATACTTGGATGCAAGAGAAAAGATCTTTGGATGTTGGCGGCCGCCCTTTGCAAAGGAGCTTGGGCCAGAGCAGCAGCTTTGGTGTGAAAAGTCGGGGGCCGGGACTCAAATTAATCTCCGATGCCGTATTCGAGAACCGCAGAGGAGCCAATCAAGCAGCTCCCTTTCATCCCGATCATCCATCTACGGATCTTAAGAATCCACCGGCCCCCGGACTCTTCCATGCTGTCCGTTCCATCACTCTCGAGCTCCCTCGCTCCAACACTGCCAGCTACTGCGTGCCTAGTCAAAGTACTTTCTTTCAAATTTTCTGTCTCCATCTTCTGAGACACCAGTGCTCCGTAAATATCTCTAAGCTCGGGTCGTTGTTGGGAAAGATTACAAACGATGTCGCCAAACGATGACGCCAGCAGCCCCGACTTTGCGCATAGTCACGCAAAGAAGTCTCGAGCTTGCACGAATTGCGCTCGCCTCAAAATACGGTGTCGGTGGCAGCCGGGTTCGGAACATAGCGAACACGCCGATTGCATACGGTGAGCACTTCTGCCTCTGTTGGCGACAGTTGCGTGTATCAACCAGAGTCCGCTGACAACGCTGGTGTGCCAAGCTGCTCCCGCATGAGCATACGATGCCAAGTACCGGAGCCGGTCCCCAGAAAGAAACGGGGAAAGTCAAGGTCAGTACAAAAAGCCGATGAATTGATCTCGGAGTGTGTTTTTATTGCATCCTGCTCTTCAAGCTAGCTGTAGATCACCCGTTCCTTCTTCTTGCTTCTTCCTACCGGGGCCTTTGAGCGGAACATGAAGCTAAATGCCTGCCCCGTAGTCGAGTCACTGAGCTGGAGAAGAAGATAGATGGCCTGGTCAGCCTTTTCCAGACACAGCAGCAGTCAGGAGAGACACAAGGGCAGCCGGCAACCGGGCCCAGCCCTAGCAGCGAGGACCCGCGCTTGATGCCATGCACTGGGTTGACTATACCAGGCGTCACCCATCAAGTAAGCACAGACGCATCCCCGAGTGTCAACAGTTCAGCCGGCACCCAAGATTGTCATTCCATGCCGACTCCAGAGGCTGGGCTTCCCAGCGGGTCCTATCAGCTCTTGCCGGGGTTCACCATCGCTGCCGAGAAGGCTGAGGAGTACCTTTCCATCTACCGGACGCGTATGGTTCCCAACTTCCCATTTGTGCCCATCGAGCCCGAAGTTACAGCAAGGGACCTCCACAACCAGAAGCGATTTCTGTTCTGGTGTATTATGCAAGCCATTGTGCCCCAGACAGCCACGGTACAAAAAGCAGTTGACGACTGGGTCCGCAAGCATGCAGCTATGCACATCGTAGTTCATAAGGAGAAGAAGATTGAGCTGCTCCAAGGTTTGATTGTCTATGTCGCCTGGTAAGTGATAAGTACTGAACCGTCCCTCAACGCGATGGCTTCGGGCCCGTGCTGTTGTCGAAGCGTAACTGTCTGACGATTTTGTATCATACAGGGGCGATGTCCACCTACAGATGGGTATCAACGCAAACACTCTCCTCCAACTAGCCATCGGCCTAGTTATGGACATGACAATGTACACTCTAGCAGGCCCCGTGAGCTGGATGCCGAAAACCTTGTTGAATGATGCGTGGGCCGTCTTGGGCCGGGGCGGAAAACAATTCGAAGCGCCAAAGCCAACTCTCGAGGAGCAAAGAGCGATTCTAGGCGGTTACTTTATTGCGTCGAGGTGAGTTCCCTTTCACCCAATTTTGTATAGTGAAGTGTGGAGCAAAACTGATGTTCTTTGCCAGTGTTCCTGCCGCCATAAGGAGGCACTCGCAGATACAGTACACACCCCAGATCGCACGATGTTCCAAGGCCATTCGCGAGGCGGACGCCATACCAACAGACCAGAATTTACTTGCCCTCGTTCGCATGCAACATCTAGGGGACCGCATACGTACTGTCTTTCCGAGCCCGGACAGAGAGGAGGGGGAGCCTCTACCCATCTTCCGGGAACACTTCAGTGCGGTACTAGCGTCACTTCGCAAAGAGATCTGCGCTCTCGAGTCAGAAGAACCCGCTGTCAAGAAGGAGAACCGTAAGTGGACTTTGGGGCAACGAGGAAATAAGCCGAAGGTCAACTATACTAACCGTACACGTCGTCTAGCAATGGTTTGGGCACACTACGGCGCACTGATGGTCAGACTATACGAACCATGCATCGGCATGCGAGGAGCCAGCCCTTCGGAGGCTATGTCCGCCATGGAGCCGTTCAGTAGGACCGAGTCACTGTGGTTCTGCCTCCAGGCGATCCAAATCGCCATGGATGCGCTGCTCGCCATCCCAGCTGAAGCATTTGCGTATCTACCCTTCAACACTGTTGCAGATATAGCACATACAATGATGTCTTCGCACCGACTGCTTCTGGAAGACTCGGCAAGTGACTGGGACGTGATACTGGCGCGCCGGAAGCTGGACCTTCCCGATATAGCGCGGCGGTTGGCGGATCGGTTCGAGGAAGCGGACAACGTTGCGCTGATCGTCGGGCAAAAGAGACGGATCTTTGAGGACGAGAGCTCGCGCTGGGCGAATTATGCGTACCGGGCGAGGTGGATCCGTCAATGGTACCTGAACAAGGTTGTTGGGCAGCCGCCTCAGGAGCAGATGGCGACGGAGCAGCAGCAGCCGCAGGAGCAGCATCAGTTACAGCAGCAGCAAGCGCAGATGGTCCCTCACGTGGGGATGGTGACGGACCCCAACATGTCTTGGCTCGGGGGCGTGGCGATGGACCAGTCGTTTTGGGAGATTATGATGCTGGATGGGCCTGGACAGATACCCATTGACGCGTCCATGCTTTTGCCGGACCAGTCCATGTTGCCCGCCATGCAGACTTCTTAGCATCCCAGCTATCGATCGGCTAACGGTCATCACTTTCACACTTTTCCCGCCCCTAAATCTCTAGATGACTAGTGTAGTGGCGTAGTTTTTGCAAGAGATAGCGAAGGTTCCGGCACGGGAAGGTGGCATTTATGCAAGGGTAGGGCGGGTCTGAGGACACTCTGAACTCAAACCCAAACAGGATTTGTAGTTTAAGGCACGTGTCTACTCTTTGTGAGCTGGTTCCTCTCTCGAAACGTGCAGGAGTTGTGTAAGTTCGTGCTTATTGTTGAGAAGTGTTCGAAATCTAGAAGAAGAATTGGGTACGGCTTACGACAACTTTTCTAAATGAGGATAGCATCTGTGGAGTATGGAGATACATACGTTGTCTCAGGTTTTGCTAATAGCTAAACATGACTCAAGCTGTCCGAAGTTTGCAAGCGAGATACGGTCTTAGTGAGAAAATCTATCCAATGTTGTGTCATCTCCTACTAGTAGGCATGCGTACTACTGAGGGTAAGTTGAAAATCTTGCTGCCAGAAAACAGCATTCAACGATATGAGAGATACGTACATCTACTCAAGAAACATTGTACAGAAACTGTTCGGTTGTGCATTGTGCACCGTTGAGGTCCTCGACAACATCATCATGCCTCTTGCTCCGCCCAAATGATGATGGCTGTTCAACATTGACATCAGCAATAGTGGGCGAAGTATCCAAACTGGTCCACAAACGGCAGGGTGGGCAAGGTTTGTCACTAGTGGTCTCGAAAAATGTCCACTTTCTTGAGTACGGTCCAGCTGGTTGCCGCACTCATGCCGTCCTCTCTGCGCATTCCCGGTCTTGGTCAAAAATTCCTACATGCTAGCAGAAAGATCTGTACCCGAAATCACTTTACTGATAGGTGGAAGAGAGACGAGAGCGAGAAAGGTTTGATTTGCTCATACATTCCCTTGTCGCAGTTGAAGGGCGAAGATCTACGGTAAGTATGCTACCTTGCTTAACATCCCTCTCAATACTTGCAGCTGCCAACTAAAGGGCCATGGACACGTCCACTCGGCAGCTAAATCAGTCCTGCATCCCGTCGGCTAGGTCTGTGGAGGTAGGTGTGCTTTTCATAGATGCATATCTCCGTTCCCGCCAAGTCTCTCGGCGGCATGTAACGCAGTCCACATTACAAGTTAAGAGTCGCTGACGATTGGCCCACTGCGCGAGGTGAGGTGTACGAGCACTCTTGCCAGCCACCTGACAGCGGTCTGCTGTCTCAATACGCCAGTTTTCATCTCCGGAACGGTGGGGGGAAGGCGTGATTGCGTTCTTAGTCGCGGGGCCATGGACCAAGAAGCGGCCAAGGAATCTGCGATTCAGAGGGCAGACCCGTGTTATAGTGAGCGTGGTGTTTGAGGCTGTGATCCTGGCGTGGCCGGGGTCGCGGTCCTCGGCACGCTGGTGTCGAGAATGGACGCTCATGGATCTCGAACTAATGGGATTTACAGCCGCCAGTCTCTTGATTTGAAGAAGTGGTCTTATTAAGCTAGCTAAACTTTCATTTTGATCTTGTACTTGCGGATATGGATCACGGGTGGAAAGCAAAACCCCGCAAAGTCAGTCCGGAGAATCCGGGGTAATTAGCTGATTGAACTCTGGTGAGCCAAACCATTCAGCAATGAACTACATCCTACCCGAGAATCTGGGCATTCTGGGGGACAGAGGGTTTAACTGAAGGCCCTGTGCAATTTTCTCAACAATATGACGACTTGCCTCTTGTTTTTTGGTTGATTCGATCACGACATGTGAAAATTGAAATACGCATCAGCAATAACCTGCCCCTAATGCTCATAGGCATATTTGTACCCTGAATCGGGCCGTAAGACAGTCAAACCTTCTCGATCTGAAACCAATGTCACCGTTTAGCCAGTGTGGTCTACAGCAAAAGACTGATGTGGTCTTTACCATGGAAAGGGAGAGCGCCAACCCCCTCAGCTTTGATCTCGGCACCCCACCTTACCCGTTCTACCAGCGGGGCCGGCTCTACCTGACTAGTGCAACGTCATGTCAATTTTTTGTTCTCTGATTGGTCTCTACGGAGGCTAGAGATCGGGTTGGGAATAGTCAGATTGGCTCATTCGCTAGTATCTGGCTCACTGCAATTTGAGCTTGACCAGGGCGTGGAGTCTGTTGGAAGACTTGTTGTTGTGAGTGTGAACACATCGGTGCCGGCAAAGCTTGCATCAACACCGACACAGCACGATAGACCTAGAATAGCGGACAATGCATTATCACAACAGTCATAAAGGTATATTGTCTGAATCTCGTTCTGAATTGGGTGGTTTCCAAAGTTTATTCTGCTTTTCCAAGCCTTCTAGAGATAGTACCGTCACGATGTGCCGGCGATGGGGTCCCCCACCTCGGAACCCCCTCGTCCCCCACTCCGGCAGCTATGCGGTTTAAGGTTGCATGGTTGTGACCCCCAGTGGATATTCCGGGGGGAATCTGGGGTAGTGTCAGTGCGACGCTATTCGGTTCAAGCTCAGAGAGTCGAGTTAGACAGTCGGATGGAATTATTGATAAGGACGGTGCAGAAGCGAGAGTTTAGAATCATACGAACATCAGACCATTTCACTCTGATGTCTTTTTGGGCGATTCTCCAAAGGTCGACGTGCACATCAGACACCAGTAACCAACTTGATCTAGAGAACCAACCCACTTTCGCCTAATTCAGAAGAGAAAGACAATGTCGGGCTGGAAGTACGCGTTTGCCCTGAGTAAGGAGGAAATTGCAAGGGCAACACCGCCTGGAACGGCAAAGTTGATAGGTGAGTTCCTCAACCATTGAACATGGTCCTCGGTGAAGCCGCGCTGGATCAGGCAACGCGTTGCTGATCCTCCGAAATACAATATTGTTGGAACGATACTTGGACTATTTGTTGACCACCAATTTTCTTCGCAGTCGAACATGAGTCTTCCAGCGGATCGCCAAGATCTTCCAACTCTCTCAGACGATTCCCACAACCATCGGAAGACCCAGCAGACCCTCTCAATTGGGCACAATGGCGCAAATTTGCACTTTTGTTGACTGTGTCACTATACTCTTTTGCCGGCAACTTCACCAGTTCGGGCATCGCACCGGCGTTGCAACTATGGTTCAAGGCCTTCCCGACAGACGTCAGGCCATTCAGCGACCTTACCTACTTTATCGCGGTGCGTCCATTCTGTTTTCGCGCGCGAGTACCTGGTTGGTGAGCTCAGCTAATGGTGGTTCTGTTTCCTACAGGTCAATATTCTGTTCCTCGGAGCGTCCAACATTTGGTGGGTCCCTCTTTCGAACATCTTCGGTCGGCGACCCGTGCTGCTGGCCGCAACGCTCCTTATGACGATCGGCACTATTGCGTGCGCTGTCTCAACAACCTACAACGGCGTTCTCATCTCTAGATTGTTCCAAGGCATTGGAGCCGGTGCGTCAGAGTCTGTCGCCCCAGCACTTATCGGAGAGGTCTTTTTCGTGGACGAGCGAGGACGTGCCATGGTAAGATAAGCACCAAACCTGTACAGTGGAAGAAAAGAGAAGAAGTACTCTTTTGCTGATATACCAACTCTTCCACCCAGGCCATCTACACCGTTTTCCTCGCGGGCGGCTCTTTAATCGGCGGAATAGCGGGCGGGTATATCGGCTTCCAACTAGGCTGGTTCTATATCTTTTATGTCGGCATAGCCCTCTCTGCCGCCTGCTTCGTCACCACCCTCTTCTTCGTCCCCGAGACCCTCTATGACCGCGTCGTATCCCCAAGCCTCGACGCCGCCGGCCCCAGCCAGTCGCCCATTGACGAAAAGGGCATGGAAAGCCACGTCGAAGACGCGCAGAGCCAGGTTCTAGACTATCGACCCTTCACCTTCGGACGGTCCCTGGGTTTCACCCACTACCACGGCGGCGTCGTGCGCAATTTCCTCGCTCCCTGGAAGACGTTGAGGTTGCCAGGTACATGGGTCGTTATGTTTCACTACGCAGGCCTCGTCGGCGGCATCGTCACCATCTCCACGGTCGGGCCCCAGCTCGTGGCGGCACCGCCGTACCTCTGGGGCGCCAACGTCGGGCTGATCAACATTGGAGGCGTCATCGGGACCGGCCTGGGCGCTCTCTACACGTATCTCCTCGCCGATGCTCAGCTGAAGAAGAAGGTCAAGAGTTCGGGCAGCGGGCTGGCGGAAGCGGAGAGTAGGTTGCCGACCATGTTTCCCTCGCTCGTCATCGCCACGGGCGGGTTCTTCGTCTTTGGCTTCACGGGCCAGTACCCGTCCAAGAATGGCTGGGTCGGTCTCTCGGCAGGGTTTGCCATGGTGTCGTTTGGTCTGATGCAACTACCATCCGTCGGCTTCAACTATGTAAGTACATGCCTTCCGACCATGCATGCTATCATGTCGAGCGATAGAAACTCTAACCTGGGAAACTGCAGCTCATCGATGCGTATCAGCATCTTGCTGGCGATTGCTTCGTCATGGTCACGATCATGCGAGCAATTATTGCGTTTGCGTGGACATTCTTTGTGGCGCACTGGGTCGAGGAGAAGGGAACCTCAGAACCGTTTGGTATATTTGGTATGCTAATGGGAATATTTTCTCTTTTAACGATTCCTCTATGGCTCTTTGGGAAGAGGATGAGAATTGCCACCAGGAAGCTGGTAGAGGCATGATCAACAAATACGCGTTATTTTCAGCAAGTGTTGCTCTACATGTGTTAGGCTGCTTCTACAAATGCGATTGTTCGCATGCTATCACTCAATATATGTCACCCCTTCACTGCTCTGCGTATGGCTCCGTTGCCAAGACTTCGTATTCGACATTGTAGGATCACGTTTGGCGCCATGATTCGGTCCTGCTGGCAAAAGACTGGACATCTAAGGACCAATAAACTAAAAGACGTTAGTATCATATGGTAATAATACTTCACTTGAACCGATGGATAGCGCGAGGGTGAGTTGCGAAGTTCGATTTTGACACCGGGCAAAAGCTAGTACGTATACTTCAACAACGATCAATATCAGAATAGAGCAGAGAAGTGTCATAATTAAGGCACATTTCATCAAAAAGAGCGCTCACAAATATCATGCTTACTCGAGCACTCAGTACAACAAATAAATCAGCCCCAACGCCAAGATGGGCACGTTGGCAATCAAATGGCCCTTGACTTTGGCCCTGCCGACCGTGACCACCTCATCGGAGACACCAGAACTCCCCATGTACTCAGATACGACCGCCGCGCCGCTGAAGCCCAAGCCAGAACCCAGCATCAGCACGATCCCCAGGCACCTCCGCACCGCCGTGGCCGCCAGCGGCGAGGCGCGGCAGACGTCGGAAAACTGGCCGTAGAGCACCAAGCCCAGGATGCACGACGACATGTGCAGGTTGCGGGCGCCCTTGACCTTGATGAGGGCGTGGTGGAAGGCGTCGAACTGGGCCGGGGTGACGGTGTCCCGCGGCGGGGGCACGAGGCCGAACATCGCGGCCCCGCCTTCGGGCTTGGCAAGGTTGAGGCCCCCGTCTGCGGCGCCGAGCAGGGCAAGCAGGCTCGTGAAGAGGGGTAGGGCGGCGGGTTTCCACCAGGAGGTTGGGGAGGTGTTTAGGCTAGCCATGATTTCGTGCGTAGGGAGTGACACAAGTTATTCAGAATAATTGATATAAGGGCTGGAGGAGAGTTCGCTAAGGTAGCTTGAACATATGCGTTGGACTGATCGTGATCAGGACCAGATTCAAGGGGGAATCAGCGTCAGCTCAAAATGCCTCAGCGGCCAAGGAGAAGTGAAGCCGCTGGACTGATTACCTCAGGCAACATCATTCAAATCACGTGGCGGCTTACATGGTACATTGGCGTTAACTTCAAGCCACACTGGAACGCAGCGTAAGGTTAGTAAGTGCCTTCGTATTTCACTTCAATCATCGAGCAACTCGCCAATTGAGGCTCACTCAAACCGAGGTTACGGCAGTCGTTGCTGGGGTTCAAAGTGCCAATCGAAATCAAATCATTCACGTAGCAGGCCTTGAGTTTGATCAAATACCATGTTGCTATCATTCCCTTGTCAATTTTGAGTTACAATCTATCCCGTTTTACCAGTAGGCCGTTCCCATCCGAGCACTCTATCAGATTTCTCGCCACGAGAGAATCAACCCCCTCCCCAGAAACGAAAACACAACCAAAACGCACCAAAAAACCAAAAAGCAACAAGAAGCACTGCGTAAACCAGATCCAACCACCATGTAAGCTCACAAAGAAACCCCCCATTCCATCACGGCCGATACAACACTACCAATGGAGGGAAATCAAAGGATGCCCGTCGCCTCACTTCTTCTTTGGTGACGGCGAGCTCTCATGCGGCACCTCCGATGATGCATGCCGCTTCGTTGGCGAAGAAAGCGATCGGCTGTGCCTGGCTGGTGGGATAGCCAAGGGCGGCAAGCCTGGTCGCGAGCGATGAGCACGCCCACCGCCTGCAGCGCCCTGCGAAGCTCCAGGAGGTGCCTCACCATGCCGCCGGGTGTCGACAAAAGGATCGTCGCTGCCCATTTGCGAGCCAGTTGTGCCGGCAACGTTCGCGGCACGGCCCGAAGCGCCCGGAAGGTTGAACGGCGGGGGCGCAGTTCCAACCTCGGCACGCCTACCTGAGCCTCCGCCGCTGGCCCCGGCATGCCCCGATGTAGCCCCCTGTCTTCCACTGTTTCCAGCCCTGGCTCCGCTCGAGTTGCCTCCTCCCTTTCCCTTCTTCGGGCCAGTCCCAGTCTTACCAGACCTTCCGGATGCCGCCTTTGATGACGCTGCGCCTCCTTTTGGGGTATCGAAATCGATTGGGGGGCGCGCGTCGCGTGATGCTTGGTTTTGGGTGTACCATTGATCATCAGCGCCGGGTCTACTACTGGCGCTACTCCGACCCGGAGCACTCCGAGTACCACCGCTATCATCGGAGCGGTTACAAGCATCTTCGTAAACTTTCTCCTTGAAAACGTGGCGCAAGTGATGCAGGACTTGATAATAGATCGCATCGAACGCCTTCTTCGGGATCCAAGGGGGAAGGGTCGTCGCTGACCAGTCTGAGTGAGCCCCCTCAAAGAGGAACTTGGTGTTTTCCTTCTTCTGGACATACTCCACGAGGAACTAACACACCGGGCAGCATCTTTTGTTCACAGCCACAGAAGTCCCCAACGATCGGAAACGACTTGTCAAACTTGCCGCAGGTAATTGGCACGCTTCCTCAGCATCGCTGCTCCCCGCCACGACATTGGCGTCCACCATGCGAGCCCGGTCCTTTTCAAGAAGATGCAGGCTGAAGATTGTTGCCTCGGCATGCCAAGTGCCCGAGAACGTTGAGTACCCTGCATCTCCGAAATACTCGACCCATTTTGTCACAAGATGCTGTGGCAGCGTCTCGCCTTCCGCAAGTTCAAAAGTCTCCAGAAAACCCCGAAGATCGGCATTTTCCTTATCCTGATACTGTGGGTAGGTTTTGAGGGGCTGGAATTCAGTCGCTAGAAAATGATCAATGACTATCTGGTCACTCTCCAAGAGAAACAGCAGGGAATCGTAGTGACGGCAAATACTGCCAAGATATTCTGCGACTGCAACATTCCAGCCGTAGACCCTGGCATCGTTGTCGAAAGAGAGAAGCTCAGTCTCAAAGATGTCGTCGGTGTCTCCAGCGCCACTTGAGATGTTGATCTTACTGAACCCCTTGCTGAGGCCAGGAGTTGGTGGTTCCTGGTGAGCACTGCCTGATCCACGAATTGGCGTGGCAGGGGGATTGTGGCCCTCGCGTCGAGGTGGCGAACTCCACAAAGGCGCGCCTTCGGGGCCTGTTCCGCGCTCTGCATAGATTGCCATTTTGTTCTGGGCAGGATTCGGGGAGTCGGCGGTAGGACGCGAACTGAACCCTCGGCCTGGTTCATGCGTCGCCTTGACACCTGTCAAAAACTAGAGCCATGCAAAGTGCGAGTCCAGGACTTCGCGGAACTCTCGCCGGATTCCAGCAAGTACAAAGTATGCGCGCTGCAGATCGTCGCTGGCAGCTTTGCACTTCATGATGGCGTCCTCCCTTGAAACCTTGCGCTTCATCGTGACACTGTTGACGAAGTTCTGAGTCCCTTTGAACCGATTGTGGTAGAACTCGAGGGCTAGAAAAATGCTAGCCAGAATGCGCTGCATCTCGTTGCGGCCCTTGACGTCGTAAAAGACAGATGCGGACTGCCGGCGGGCATTCAATGGACTTGTATCCCACGAATGAAACAGAGGAAGGGTATGACCGTGCTCCCTCTTGTCCCTCCCAACCCGATCCTGACGCCAGCCATCCGCCTCCTTATAGACAGCCATTAGTGCCCCCTCTTGCTTGAGTGTCTGGCCCCTGCGAAACTTGGAGTCCAGCTCTGTTGCGGGCAACTGCCGACCGCCTGTGAAGAAAGGAAGCGGACGAGAATCCAACTTCTTGTCATCGAGGACAGCCTGAGCCTTGACTTCAGCGACTGACAGTGATGTTCCTGATGACGGAGTGGCGGCACTGGCACCGGATTGAGCCTCTCCCTGGTGAAGCTGCGCCAAGTTTGAGACTGGCTTTGCGAGAATAGCGACGTAGTTTCTGTAAATGGTGCCACCGTCGAAGCGACGACGGATCTTGACCTGAGATGAGAGATAGATGAAGTCCTTCAAGGCTGCAGACTTCTTTTCTTTCTTGACTCTGTCCTTTTCGGAAAAGTATTGCTTGAGCATCCGGATGATGAGGAGACAGCATGAAATGAAATGCTGGCCGGTGCCAATTTCCTTGATAGTCATCCTTGCCCACTTGTCATGGATAAAACCCGTCGTGCCATCGGGGTAGTTAAAGTCGAAGTTGTCGACCACCGTCGTGTCGAAGTCAACAAGTAGCGCCGGCCCTTGAGCTCCTATGTTGTCGGGGGCGGTCAGATGGTCCTCAAACCGGGGGTTTGTTGAAAGGTAGACGACGTTCGTTGATCCATCTTTGGCTTTTCCTTTGCCCTTCGTATTCGTACGCAATACTCCGTCGGAACTGGGAATCAGCGCCAGCACCTCGGTATTGCGGACGAGGATTCCCGCAAGACAATCAAGGAATTCGTATTGCTTCCGAATGAAACGACGTTCTTCCGTGGAGCCCTCGAGGGATTGCGTAATCACGTCGTGATCCGGCAGACGCAGGGTGGTCCCGTGGGAACTGTTGACTGCCTTGAATCGGCCGAGGAGCCAGGTAGCTCTACGGAACGCAAGTATGTCCTCGCGAGTAGGCACAGCTTCAGGCTTGGCAAACTGAGTTGAAGGATCCATGGCGATGGGGCAGTTGAAGGGTTGACAATTCAGAAAATTGTTGGCGGGAACGAATGAGTCGTAAGCACAGGCTCGGCGCTGTTTGCAAGCCAAGCTTGATAACAGGGTCAGGAAAACCGTGTACTGCGTTCGTTGGCCTTGTCAGAGAAGCTGGCGATGACCGGGTATGACTTCTTACCCAAGGCCTGCAATGATGGCTGCTTGATAGTCTTGATCCGATTGCGATCAATGAGTCCTTGACACAGGGTGGCAGATGCAATCTGAAGGTGTTATCGAGATGAAGGTTTCGTTGAGATGAAAGTGGTAGAGGTGAGATGAAAGCTGGGTGGATAAGCGGCAACAAGTCCGCGGTCTGGAATTGGAGAAGGATTGGCCATAAGAAGTCATGAACCAGAGAATGAGGACATCAACCCACCTTGACTCCCTTGTTAGGGAATGAGGGAGTTGTCAATGAAGAGACTGGCAGGCGAGAAACCAGTCAATTTTACGGGAACTTGTCGGCACCTGAGAGCTGGGGCCTCAGGAAGGCACGACTTCTTAGGACCTGACGTGTGAGGAATACAGGATCAGCGCGAGCGAAGATATTGACTGGTGACTAGCAATATGGACTTACCAGCGGCTTCAGCTGAAGACTCAAATCCTTGATATGCGCGTCGTGGTTGTCGAGATGTTTGAGTAGAATGGGGAGAAAAGGGAAGTTTACAACGGAGACAGAATTAAGGCGAAATGTCCGAGACGATATACCATTTTGTGGTAGGCACCAGGTGAATATGAAGGTGGTCTGAAGTCCGGTTGACCGCCCAGGCAGTCACGGGGTTCAGTCCCATCTTTGACCGCCCAGTCTTTGACCGCCCAGGGTAGCCTGAGACTGAACGGATCTTGTTTGCTTTCAAGCTGTTTCTGCCAGCGAAATGCAGCCTGCCATGCCATGCAGCCTGCCAGCGAGAGTCATTTCTCTCTTTGAGACAAACAATGACGCTTCATCGCCAAACTTGCCGTTGGGAAAGTGCCTGGGGGGAGGGGGGCCAGGGCAGAGGTCGTTCCTTTTGTTGGCTTCATATTAGTTAATGGGGGCTTGGGCCCCAGGTATCTGAGATACTGCCTCCCGTAGTTGCATAATACAGTTTCTATGTTAACTTAACCCTGAATGCTCCCGTTCCCCTTATATCTTCGCCCACTAGGACATTATCAGAGACATTTGAAAAGGAAAAGTAAGGCCTTTTGGCGTAGGAAGAGATCACTCTCGAGACGAAGGGCCGCCCAACCAGAAGACTGACCCTTTAGGGACACAACCGCTCTATTGAGTAGTAGAATAGACCTCTGTCGAGAGCAGTGTGGCACATCTCATCCCCCTCCCTTTCCCACCCCCTCTCGGGTAGGTAGCCAAGCGACGGAAAGCTGAACGTGTACCAGACAAGTCTCTTTATGCAACACCGGCCAGTTCATGGAATCATGAAAGGTATAGTCCTGCTTGCAAGCCCGATTCGGACTGACTGAGAAGAAAGACGGCTCTGGAAGCTTCAATGCATTATGCCTAGGAGGCAACATTGGGAGAGGTATATGTACCGTGAATCATAGCGGTTCCCTTACATACATACATTCAGACAGGTGTCAAAGACATCATTCAACCAATCTGCTTGGAATAAATTCATGACTAGGCTAAGGCATGGCCGCCAGCTGATACATCCGTGATATTAGGCATTATGACACAAAATCACCTTGCCTACAGACCCTACATGGCCAAGTAGTCTCGCTTGAGTACCTTGACGATTGGAAAAGGCTGGGGCGTATACATGTAATACACAGGAAAACAAACGGTCCCTGGCAGCTGACGACGCCTCATGGCAAGATATCTCATTTGGTTCCCATGGATACAATGGCTGCGGCGGGGAGATACCGCCTGCAACGAGGCTGCATACCTACACGTGACTGGACATTCATCTTTTACTAGGTGTCATTTTCCAATGGTAGATTGTACGAGAAACGCGATAATGAATTGCATCAGGCATCAAAAGAATTGGTGTAGCAAGCTTAAGGGCAAACGTAATTCAACTTTCCGTAATGAGATGACCTGTACTTGATAATCACGGCCTGGCAGGCAAGCTAGATGATCGAGGGGCAGTTCTAAGTATCGATGGTAGCAGCAATTGTAAGGGGCAATGATTGACATACTCCCGGAAAAGATTTGACTCTAGAGTGTACTTTTGACAGGTTGCCAACCATAAGATCGTGAATGCTAGATACAAGATAAGAATCACGCGTGGGACAAAATGTGGCTACGACGTCCAACTTTCTCCCCACACAGTGAAACAGTTGAATCTTCGTAGAACTGTCAAGATTTCATGATGTCAGAGTTGATGTAGGAATTGATGTTTTAAAGGTCTGTTACTCTAGGCTACTGTTGATCTCCAAAAGCCATTCCACTCGTTGAGTGTCCAGGTTTCCGTGCCCTCTCCCACAAACATCTCCTCAGTATCATGACCGCCGTCATGTCGAAGTACCCATCGTTTGTACATCCATGCATGGACTGCAAGCCTCTCATTCTCTTGTCTTTTGTCAGGCGAAAGCATGTCCGGCAGTTCATCTATGCCGCAAGCTTTTCTGTTTGCAGCAGCAACAGCTGCCTCGAGCTTCAACTTGGCCTTCCCACCCACGGCCACTCCGATGCGCTGTAGTGGCGAGACGTTGTCCGGTGATACGTGCGCACCCATGTCCAACAGTGCAATTGCAATGCTAGCAAAGCAAGGATTTGATTTGTCTTTGATACATTGCAGCGGTGAGTAGCCAGCCGCATTCCTCGCGTTCGCATCCGCGCCATGCTTTTCGAGGAGTTGGATGAGTGGCACCGGATCAGTGTGACCGACAGGAGTTGGACTTTCCATCACAAGGTAATGCAGCGGAGTGTTGCCGAGCGCATCTCTGACATCGTGTTTCACCAACTTGTTTTCCAAGAGAAGTCGAGCGGTCTCCAAGTCCCAATTGCTGCATGCCTGGTGTAGCGCATGAAGATCAATGCCGCGGTGTGTAGTGAGTGATGCCCCAGCCCCAATGAGAAGTTTTGTGGTAGCCAAGCGTGCCTCGTAACGATTATCGGAGCATGGGCTATCTTTGACTTCCATCAAAGCAAAGTAAAGGGCGTTTGCTCCAGCCTCAATCTCATTCCTGAGCAGATATCGTGCACCAAGCGGGATGTCAAACGACTCTTCGTCAAATTTCCGGAAGAAATTTTCAAGAGGACGAGTAACGAAGTGACGATCGCCCCAGGAAGTTGCTATGCTGGTTTCAAGGCTGACATCGGCGCCATGATCCAAAAGTAATTGCAATGCCGCGGAGTGTCGGCAATATGCAGACCAGTGCAGGGATGTCAGACCGACTAACACTGGCACGCGAGTGACACAGTGGTAGTCTCCGTCCTCGAGATGGAACTCTGTGCAGTCTTCCGTATTGACATCGGCACCATAAAGTAAAGATTGTTGGATTCCAGGAAGATTTCTTGTCTTTGCCGATAAAAGTAAACACGAAGAAGCATTTCGTTCGATGTCTTCTGTGTAGAGAATAGGCGTGATCATTTCGTTCAATCTTTTGCAAGTCGATGCAAGGTGAGCGATGTCTCTCCAAACATCAAACCTATGAAACCTGACTTCTGTGACCTCGAAGTGTGGCTCGTACACTACCTCATCTTCGTTGTATCCTGCGCGGAGCTCGGCGTCGTAGCGTTCAAAGACACTATCAAAAATTTGCAAGATGATCTTTTCCGGCAAGGTCGCTAGGGTGACGGGAAACCCGATCGGCAGGTAGTCTTTTGAATTTCTCTTGGATCTGAGATTGCTGCTATCCTTCGGCGGTGAGAGCAGTCCTTGGGGGGCCTTGGATCCAGTGCTGTTAGATGTGGCCGGGTTGCTTGTTCGGGCACGTTGGATTTCCGGACTGGATGGAGGTGTCGGCGAGAAATGAGAGGCCATGGCCTCAGCAGTTGATGAGTCTGGTGCGTTTGTAGCGTCCAAGGTGGCGTTGAAGCTGGAACTATGCACGGCGCCTTCGCGCACCTTATCATCTGAGAGGGGTGCCATGTCAGAGAAAGGCAAACTGCACGTCGCTAATGCGCCCAAGGCTAGATTTTATGAGGTGGTCTCATCAATTAGGGAATGGAAAGCGAGCTGCGAAGAAAGGGTAGGAGGTATGAATGAGTGAAAGATGTGCAGGGACTCAAGACATCTTAGGTAGGTATCCGTATCCGCCGCGTGTTCGGAGAAAGGTTTGAGAGGTGACTCAGCACTTAGGAGGGTGCCTGGTTGCGCCACTGAATAGGGTAGACGCTGCTTGACCTTGATGACGCGAAATGATAATGTGCGAGTTGGTGACGTCGGGTTAGGCGCGACGAGGGGCAGCCGATTGCGGTGAGATGGATCTTACAGAAGAGAGCCGATTTTCCTCTTCTGGGGGGTGAAATTGGGGAGAGGGAAACGGTGAGGGTCTTGGGCGGCCGGGGTGGAGCCATAACAATCACGGGTACCCGCGCACGGGGTGTGGGTCCCGCCGGAAGGCAGGCGCCACGAGACCCCGTTCTTTCCCTGATTCCGTTGGAATTGGTCTGGACGAGGAAGCACGTGACCCTACACCGGAAAGATTGTCACCCAGCGTGATGTAATGCGCCAACTCGTCTGGCAGCGTCGTGTGACCTAAAGGTACCTCCCGGTGAAGTGTATCACAGGAGGGTGCATGCTGAGGTATCTACTGCCTTAGGTGACTAAGATCGCCAGGGCAAGAAGGTGCCTCAGTATCCGAGTCTCGAATCGGGCCCGTCGATATCTCAATGGTAGAAGAGAATACAGGTGGGCCTGTGTTGGAGGATACCGAAGCCTGAGGGTTGTGAATGTTCCCCTTACTTTTTATCCGGCGTCAAGATGCATAAGGACAACACAAGGACGACACTGGACTGTCCACGCCTGGGCATGGATTCAGAGGAAGAAGGACCGAAGTTAGAGAGCTAACTTAAGGTA